CACCCAAAGGCGAGCCTCGGGAAGGTCATCAGCCAACTGTGGAGGACATGAAAGCTGCCCTCGCGCTTCTCGTAGTCAGACCTTCAAACCCTCATTCTGGGGGCCTTGCTTGGGGGATCATGGGACTTAGTAAGTAAGGCCATAAGTCCCTTAATTGCGGTTATAAGAAAAGTTATCTTAAATATAACCCTACTTACCAAGTCCCGTGATCCTTTAAGTGCTTAAGTCCCGTGATCCTTTAAGTGCTTGAAAAGTTCGAATTTTCTGAAAGGATAGTAGAAATACGACTGCAGATTGCCTGTCAGGGGATAGTACGCTATGGCCACATAATTACAATTTCATCACGATGTAGCGGACGTAAGTTTCGGGGATCAAGTTGCAGGTACAATCCCTCTTGAGTCTCGGAGTTAACATTTAGGGTTCAGCGCTTAGGGGCTTGAGGCTCCGGGGTGCAGCACTTTACGCTTCCGGACTGTATGGGGTTGAATGATGTTTAGGGTTTAGGGTTTACGGTTTGGGGTTTAGGGTTTCCATTGTTTCCAAGATGCCCAATGACCTCCTACTGTAGTGCAAACTACCAGGAATAACCCGAGTAGCTCTAAACCCCTTCAAGCCCCAAACCTTCAAGACTAAGGCTTGAACCCCGAAAACCTGAAACTTCAGATCTAATTAAACCCCAAAGTCTGAACTTTGCAACAGCGCTACGCCCTAGATTGCTGGACCCTATCTATGTCTCAAATCCTAAACCCTAAAGCCCCCTAAACCCTAAACCCTAAAGCCTAAACTCAAGAACCTGAACCCCCAAACTGGTCTGAATCGTATCGCCTAAACACGCAACAAGGGCCTGAATGATTTCAATACGGCTGATGATATTAGGGTTTAGGGTTTAGGGTTTAGGGTTTAGGGTTACCCGTAATAAGGAATGTACCAGAATTCCAAAAATTAGGGTGCTTACGGTAATGCAGGATTTATATCATCAACAGTAGGGTTGCGTTGCAGTTGTGGCGTTGTTTCTATTACCATTTACTAGGCATCTACTCGGTAGTTAGAAGTGGAGTTATAAGTTGCCGAATCTGGATCATACTGATAGTTGCCCTACTTCAAACAACACTTGCAAGATCAGCCTCGAAGACTTAAAGCCTCAACGCCCGCGACCTCCAGAATTCTACGCAGGCCGCAGCGTCCCCCTCGTATGAGATGCTCGCCTGGGAAACTTGCTCAAGTTGAGGATTCAGGGATGTCTTTAAGGGCAGTGAAGGGCCTCCATAATTACCTTTGTTTTTTTGTTGGGGTGCGGGGGGGGGGGGGGGGNNACCCCATTCTAATTATGAAGTCCCCTATCCTTAGGGGTTTTAGGATTTAGGGTGCTCGGTTTAGGGTGTAGGGTTTAGAGTTTACTCGCTCCCTGTTGGGGCTATATTAAAACTGGTCATGTTGAATCCTTCTTGGGCTTTATTATAAGAATAATGTAAAATTGTATCCAACAAGGACCCAGTTTGGGGTTTAGTATAGGTGCCTTAATAATTAGAATAGGGTTCTGGGGCCCACTACATTATCTTTATAATCAGGGACCCCCAAAATATTCTAGGTAATTATTCAGGCCCCTATATTAGGGTCTAGGGTTTCACCCCGGATGCCAACCTTTCACATGCATGAAAGCCTTGATACGGTTGATGATATAAATCCTGCATTGTCCATAGTAAGGAATATACCATAATTCCCATAGTTTAGGATCCTTAAGGTAATGCAGGATTTATACCATCAACAGTATCAGCGGCAGCCATCTGTACTTGGAGGTTCATGGGTAGTTACAAATGAGGTTAGAAGTAGGGTAACTATATTTGTAAACCATAGTAGGGGACTTATAACCCTGCTTATAATTATCCATGAACCGGCAAGCAGTATAGTACACATCTGAAAGACATGTAAGGCTTCTGGGCTGTCGGTTACCTGCAACTCGTAGCCCGGATCCCTAGGCCCCAAGCCACTATACGCTGAACCCCTTTAGAGTGACAGCTGCCACAGAGGACAGGTGCAGGCGCTTAGTGTCCACGGGAGGATTGACGATTCGAATCGTTCAGGCTGCCTTCCTTCCAGCCCTGCTCAAGCCAAGTCTTCGAAGACTTTATCTACCTAACGTAGGGGCCTTAGTAATTAGAATAGGGTTCTGGGGTATATAATACTGTAATTATAATAAGACAACACAAAATAGTGTAGGTAATTGGTTAGGCCCCTACATTAGGCCCAGGGGGCAAGTTTCAAAAAACCGAAGCGCTGGACACCTCAAGCCTAGTACAGCGCCAGGCGCCAAACAATGAACCCCCCTTAGGGTTTAGGGTTTAGGGTTTAGGGTTTAGGGTTTAGGGTTTAGGGTCACTTAACATCCTAAGAAGAGTGAAATCCAAAAGCATGTTCAACAAAAGCAGGCAAACATTAACAACAACCCTGCAGGCAAGTAAAGACCCAAGAAAACAAAGCTGCATTACACAGGACAAAACTGAATCCAAACCCCCTTGCCTTAGCAAACCTGGAAAGAGCCATGATAAAACCATCAAACGGAACCCTCCGCTGCCCTTTACAATTCCCCTAAAACCCCAAACTCCTCCACCCCCCAACGCGAAAAAAAAAACTAAAACCGAAACCTTGAACCCTAACTCCCCCCAAAAAAAGCCCCCCCCCCAAGCTCTGAAGAAGAAACCTAAACCCGAAAACCGAAACCGCACAGAGCCCCGAGCCAGCTTCGAGAGTGCCAGGTGCGTGGCAGCCATTGGCCCAAGCCTTTCTTCCCGCTTTGAGTGATCTTAGGGGCCTTAATGATGACCTAAACTATTTTTGTTTTGGGGGGTCCTTATTATACTTTTTGGTGTGTGTATAATATATTAAACTATATTATATTATATTATATATATATACACCCCAAAACCCTATACTAACTATTAAGGCCCCCTACAGTGCCTGGACTTTCCAGGCTTTAAAGGGTTTAGGGTTTAGGGTCTCGGGGTGTAGGACTTGGGGTTTGGGGTTTAGGGGTTAGGGGTTAGGGTTTAGGGTGGGTTTAGGGTGAAAGGCTTTGGGGGGTTCAGGGGTTCAGAGGTACTTGGCTTTAGGTTTTCGGGATTTGAGGTTGCATACGGCTTCTGCGCTTCAGGGCTTTATCTAATGCTTCCGGATCCCCTCGGAACAAGCGAGCCCGAGCAACATCGGATCTGGGGTTGTCGAGCAGTAATGCGTGGGGATGGCTTATGTCTTGAATCAGAGGTTGGTGGGTTCAGAGTTCATCTGTGAGCCTTTGAAACACTCTACCTTATTCGTTGTCATTTAACAAAGATTCGACGCAGGACCTTAGTTCAGAAGCCCCAGATTACTTTCGAAGGCTATTCCCCTCTGTCGGCTATTCGAAACCCGCGGCGGACTTGTCAGGCGGTAGGAAGACTGAGGAAGAGGTCGAAATCCTTTTAATATAGGGGCCTTAGTAATTAGAATAGAGTTTTGGGGCCCATGGTACTATATTTATAATAGGGAACTCCCAAAATCGTATGGCTAATTATTTAGGCCCCTACACTAGCTGGATCTACTGAGTCGAGGTTCGAGCGCATGGCGTTCGCAGATTGGGGTTTGGTTTGATCTTACCTGTAACCCCAAAAAAAAGAAACGAACGCCCGATAAAAACTAGTAGGTTATGATCCCACAAATACAGAGTATACCCCTACCAACACGAAGTACACTGTCATAGAATAGGGTACAAGATAGCAGAAAGCCGCTGCAGAAGTATTAGTGTACTACGAGCTTGTAGTCTAAGTTGTAAGGCTTGGTGGTCTGTTTGTGTGTGGGGGGGCCCGACCCCCCAGGAACTATTATGTTAATTACAGGAACTATTACAAAATCTCCCGGAACTATTATTAGACTATTATTGTTTATTGTATCTAATTCTGGGAAATTATGGCTGTCTCAGATCTTCCGCTCAGTTGTTTCAGGATTCGATTCTCAAGATTCTCGCACTACTACTCGGAAGATCTGGCAGGATATGTGCTGCTGGTCCCCTCAGACCCGTAGCTTGCGCAAGCTTCAACGGACCTGGGATAGGATGTGTGTGTGTGTGTGACAGTGTGTGTGTGTGTGTCGTAGCACGATTGTCTCCACCCCCCTCGGACAAAGACAAAAGCTTGTTTTGGCATCGCACGCTCCGATCCAGCGAATCTTGAGTCCTTACGCTCGACTTGCCCGGGCACTGAGCTCAAACAACAACTGCTAGCTTGTCAAGAAGTCAAGAAGTACTATATATACAGTGCTATAGCGCAGGGGCTGCAAAGTTGCAAGCTGCAAGACTACGAGGGTCACAACAAGTTAACTAAATTACGGTACGACAAATACCCATGCTCGGGGCGCAAGCGGCGAGCTCAGCAAACCTTTCAAAAAACAGAGCTGCACAGCGACAGTCGCTGCTCGGCTCCACAAGCAAGTGAGTTTTTATGAAGATGTGCAAGTCGGACTGTCGGATTCTAAGGGCCTGTGAGGGCTGGTGTTGCATGCACATATGATCACATATGGCTCCGGCATAACGGCCTACGCACTGCAAGACTACGTGCCGTTGCACATCACTGGAAACTCACTCGCGCTTTCGCTTCGGATTGTTCTTTTTCTGCTTCTTGACCGGCTGCGCATCCGCACCCTCCGCACCATCGACATCGTCAGCCGGGGCACTGCTGGCAGCGGCGGTGCTGCCCGCAGCACGCGAACCAGCATTCCTGTGGAGCATCGTTTGCTACGGCTACACCGGCTACACCCCACAAGCCCGCCGACACCCACACATATACACACGCGCCCGCACTCACGCACGCATGCATGCACGCACGCGCGCACGCACGCACGCTATTTCGCTCCCTCACTCACCCACTCACTCACTCACCCACCACTCACTCACTCAATCACTCACTGACTCACTCACTGACCAGAGGTCCGAAACATGCCCATGCCAAAAGCGAACAAGATGCGAAGAAGACTTGCCGGGTTTCGGCTCAGCCGGCTTCGCCCGCTTCTTGTCGGATGGCTCATCCTTGAATTGGGCGAGCTGCGATGTGAGCTTGGGGGAAATGTTCTCCAAGTCTGCATGCGTCACGCCCAAAGTGCTCGTCACGAAGCGCATCGACTTTTCGATGGTGGCCTTGGGGTTGGTGTGCTTCGGGTTGAGCAGGACGTCAGCAGCCATCATCGTGCCAACGCTGAGGGCCACATCTTGCCGGAGGTCCTACACCACCCGTGGGAGCCCGAGGGACGGGCGACACTTATATATAACTTTATATACGACATGATTCATATAATGATGACATGAAACACGATGCACTTCTCAACATGGACCCCGCTACGCTGCACGCTGCCCGACAATCCCGAAAGCCGGTCCTTCATATCCTTGCATAGGGCGGTGGCTTGATCACACAAAGCCTTGAACGGCTCAGCGATGCGAGCCCCGGTGCCGATGGCGATGACTTTCTCTGCGCCTTTGCACATTTCGATCAACTCGGAACGAAGCTCCAACATGATCTGCGTGTCAGCGTCAACGTCGGAATCACCTGTGAACATCCATTTCACCGGCTCCATCTCCCACTTGGCAGCGGCACCTCTGACGGGCCTGCCCAAATCGAGCCACACAAAACCCGTTTGTTGAAACCCAAAACCTATAGCCTATAGCCAAAAGCCTACAGCACTAGATTAGACTGAAGTCGTCTGCCTGTACTTCTCTGCAAGCTGCTTCAGCTGCCCAATGCTGTTGTTGAACCCACCCAACAACTCAGCCATGACTGCCGTGATCTTGGTCACAAAGCGGTCGCAACTGGTGACCTTCTCGGGCGGCAGGAACTCTTGCTGAACTGAGCATAGCTTGGCGAAGAGCGGCATCAACGCGGCCAAAGCTGTGAAGGATTCGGCTGCGGCTGTTGTGTCGACCTCATCGATGTTCTGAGCTGAGGCATCATACGTCATAGCAATGGTCCCGATGCACCCATCAAGGAAGGGAGTGGGCGTCTTGAGGACCTCACGCGCCACGCAAGCCGCAGCCTCGCCTCCCTTCTCCGTGATCAACCGCTGCACCCACTGCTTGCCCTTGGTATCGATGACTTTTTCAAGGCGCTGCAGCAACTCCCGAGCAGGAGGGCCGAAGTCTCCACCATCCAGATTCTCGCAGACCCCCTGCAAGTCATTGAGCAACTGGCAGGCCTGCTGGAGGGCATCGGGCATTGCAGCTGCTTGACTGGCCTGGTGGAAGGCCTGCAACTTCCTCACAAACTCCACTGCCATGGGAGCCGGGTGCTTGTTGTCGCCGATAATCTTCAGCATGCAACCTGAGCGGCATGTCCGTTGGGAAGTGAATTGCTGGGAAGAAGGAAGGACCCCACCACCCCACCCTACCCCGGCCCAGTGACAAGCCAACACGCTTCGCCAACTTAGCCGCTTAAACAGACCACTAAGCACTAAGCTGAGAATGAGAAAGCGAGTGGCACACGGTTTCCAAACGCTCGAACCAGCCGTTGCACCCGGGATCGTTGGATCGATCGCTCCATTGAGCCGGATCCGACGCAAGCACGAGCGACGCAGCCTCGTCTTGCCACAACATGTTCAGGACCTCTTTTGCGATCTCGACATCTCTGATACCATTGTGGCAAAACTCCTCCACCAATTTCAAGCGGGAGCACATGTCTGCATGAACGTCCTTGTTCTGCTGCAACCCCTCCAACTCGCGACAGAGCTCTGACACATTCTTGCAGGCAGCAGCCTTCTCCTTGATGGCAGCCGCCTTTTCTGCACCGCCCTCACCATCCTCGCCGAGGGCGACGAGCAGATCCATGAGAGCCTCCGAGGCTTTCTTGGCTTCTGACACCAAATCTTCCACAGCGATGGCACCCTTGCCCTCGGCACAAACACGCGCCCACAACTGCCTAAGATTGGTAGCCGAGGCAGCCGAAAGATAAAAAGACTGGATAAGATAGGACGGCTCTATGAGTTGAAAAGCTGACTCACTGCTTACATCAGTATATCATAAAACATATTATTTTAGCGAATCATACCATTACTGAATCATTACAGTACACCATACACCGTCCATACCATACCGTACAGTCCATGAGCTTCGTGCTATCCGCCAGATTGGCGCGACATACATATCACTATCACTGATATAAGATATCACTGATATTATGATATGTCCGACCAGATCTAATATCACATGACATATCCCGTGTCACACACTCCACAAAAGGCTTTCTACCCTGGCCCAGTCCTGGCAAGAGTGGCTTTTCCTCGATCCTACGACAGAATGCAATATTGCATGCATGCAGCATACGGCGCCATACGCTACGCACACCACCGCCACCACCACCACCACCCCCATCGCCACGACCACCACCACACCACCACCACCACACCACCACCACCACCACCACACCACCACCACCGTCACCACCACTACTACAATTCCTGGTCTCCTTGGGTTTAGACCGAATTTAGACCGTAGACCGTACCGTAGACCGTAGACATCGACTTAGGCTACCACAGTACTTCTTGCTGAGTAACTTGAAAGGAGCAGGCTGGCGCATCAAGAGTGTCATACGGGAGCTTTGGACGTTGCAAGCTGCCATGGACTTGAACATGATCTTCAAATCGTTGCCGACGGTCTTCCGCTCGTTGGCACACGCACGCACCATGCAACACGCAACGACCCGCTGCAAGTCGATCAGCAGCTGTGCTCCGAATCCGGTCTGATTGTTGAAGATGCTCGCGTCCGCAGGCTGCAAAGCTGGTGCTCCCGGAGCCACCCCCGCCCTGGCAACAACATCCTCAACGTCCCAATCCCCGCTACGACTTAAAAGACACTTGAAGACAAAGATAAAGACACTTGGAACCTCAGCACATCCGGGGCGGTGAAGAGACCGATCGGAATCTCCTCGAGCGCGGCATCGAAAGCTTCCATATTCTTGATGCCCTCCAGCCAACCGAACACTGCAGCACTCTGGCACCGCAGCAACATCGCATCGATCTGGTCGTTGCGGCCCCAAATCTTGTGGAAGCCCCAAATTGACTCATTGTCGTCCTCGTCACAGATCTCCACCAGCGCAAGGAGGCGAAAGAAGTCCCTGAGACTGGCCTGGCAGCGCTAAACTCAAGGAAGCAACAACGTTTTCAAACCAAAATGGTCTTGCGAGGCAAACCCCCAGGATTGGGGTAAATCCCTTGATTTGTATGTGTAAGTACGTGGGTAGCTAGCTAGGCTGGGTGGGTGGGTGACGCGGAAAAAAGGGGCCCGCTACTTTGTGGAAATCCAAAGGCCTCCTTACAGCAGGGCCATTTTTCTAGCCGAGATTTGTATGCGGAGTTGCACAACGCTCGGCTAAGGAAGGAGTTTATGGGCTTATGGGATTGACTTAGGGGTTACCGGTTCACTAAAAGCAAATTTAAACGACAGTTTGCCTCTGCCAAGACTTTCGTGGCCAAGCTGGTGAGAATGGCGGTGAGCGACTCAATGTCCATCGCAGGCGACAGCAGGGCGGATGTGAGGTCCTCGGCAACATCGCCGTTCTCCAGGAGCCTCATGATCTTGTGCTTTGCTCCCTTCAGCTTGAAGATCATGTCAGACAAACAAGTCACCCGGTTCGCCACTGTCTTGGCATCCTCAAGGAATTCACACACTCTGTTGGCCATTGCATCCCCGTCTGGAACGCTCGCTTGCTCCAGCGGAGTCTGCGCAAGCACCACTTTTTTCAAGCGTGCAGTCACCTCGGATTCCTTGATGCTGTTCTTCCAGATGGCAGCCGCTGTGACGAGTTTGAGCTGCTGCAACGCTTTCTGCCCTGCCTCCAACAGGCCAGCCAGCTTGGACTGCGGCGGGGAAGCTCTGGAGGCCGCACGTTCAGCCTTTTCAGGCGTCGTTGGGGTCTTTGCTTTCGCCTTCGACTTGGCGGCACCAGGAGCCGATGGCAAAACACCCGAAGCTTTGGTCGACACCCGTCGCTTCGGAACTACCAGCTCACTCTCATCCTGCTCCAAGCCGAAGTGAGAAGATGCAGCGCTAGCAGCATCATCTTCGTCCTCCGCTTTGTCCTCCTCATCATCATCAGCATCATCTTTCTTGGCTGCTTCAAGCTCGGCCTGCGAAGCTCATCGTTGCCCAGACTTTAGACTCTAGTCTAGACGGCTAGATTAGGCTGGACTGGACTGACGAGGCTGAAAAAAATGAGCACAGCGCGACATGGAAGCCGGGCACTGGCCTTTGAGCTCGCTGACACTGTCAGACCAGAAGCATTCTTCTGGTGGGCCCCGTCGATGGCCTCCTTTCCGAAATCCGACCCGTCGCCGAAGTCCTGCTGACGGATTTTTGTTGCCGATAGCTTCTTGCCCAGGCGGATCTCCTTCTCGTCACTCTTCGGAATTGCAACTCCTTCTATGCCATGCTCGTCTTTTTGGAGACGAAGTCCTTTCTTGATCACCCATGCTTTCCGAGCACTGTCCGACCTGAAGACCTTGTTAGGAAACTCCTTGTCGCAGAACGATTTGAGGCTGTGCCAGGAAAAGACCTGCGCAGAGGAACTATAGAATTACGTGATGGACAGATGATCGATGAACAACTGTTTGCTGCACAGTGTCACAGTATCGTACAACAGGACGGCACCTGTGCAACATCCACGTAATTTTCATCCTTCTTCTCGAGCAAGACCTTAATGTCCGGCTTTTCGTGCCGATACTTGCGGCCAGGGTGAGCCACCGAGAAGTTGACGAAGCTCTGCCGCATACGGAAAAACCTTGGATTGCATCACTGCATCACTGAAACGAAGATTAAATCTACCGTATCCCGCAAGCATCAGCGCCACTTCTGTGGAGCCACTTGTCGCTGAAGTCTTCGTTACTCTCCAAGTGGGTGACCAGCTCGGATAGCTTCATATTGTTTAAGCTGGCTCGCTTGACGTAAAAGCAGGATTTGCAGATCGCCCCGGTATCCTTTTTGAGCATTTGCACTCTGCAATCCCCTGAGGCGGGGCAGTCCTGCGAAGAATGTTCTAAAAATAACATTGGCCCCCCATAAAAAGGAAAACGGAAAGTTCAAAGTCTAGTTTTCTAAGTTTAACTGCCAACGGGTGCCAGATACAAAACCGCGCCTTCTGGAGACCTCACTTCGTAGACAAATCCAAACAAGAATGGAAGAACACGAGAAACATACAACATACACGTAACCTAAACAGACACAGACCATAGTACATCAATTACATATCACACAGAGTCATGTCACATTAGGCTTCACTGAGCAGCATAAAGTGATACATAGCGACAAATCCCCGATGTCCGGTCCTTGTCCGTATCTCCCTCTCGCTGCTTGCACACCATACATACCAGCAGCAACAAGCTGGACGCTGCCGCCGCTGCCAAGTCTGCCTCCATCTTCGCGAGGCCCACCGATCAGCGAAGTCCGAAGGCTCTGACAAGCAGGCGAAAGCTGCACACAGTCAATGGTCACTATTGAACGGCCCAGCTAGCTGAACCTCAATTTCTCGGCGGTGATATACAAGTAAGACCTAAGCTTATGACGGCGAAGCATTGGAAGTGTAGGGGAGCCATCCATTCAAATAAATTAGGATAATAATACAAAATGAATACGAACCAGACACAAACGAAAATAGGATTGGTACAAAAAATACAAAATAAGTACGATATAGACGGGGAAGAATACGAACCAGCTGGGAAATAATAAAGAAAAAAGCAGAACATGAAATGCCCGCGCAAAAAGGTACATTTTCGTTACACGTTTTGTTCGTATATGTTTTAGACTATGTTATTTATTTCCTACTGTTTTCGTATTCATTTCCTATTCTCCAAATCGTATTCATGTCGTATTATTTAATTTGTATTTTCTCCCTACTTTCATAAACCGATAGATCATGATAGATCTGGAACACTTCCATATGCTTCGCCGTCTTAAGCCTAGCAAACGCAGCACCGAGGCACTGATGAAAAACTGGTGCATGTCATGTTACAGACGGCAGAATCTCGCAACATTTCATATGGTCCGAAGGCAATCGTAATCGACTGCATGCACGCTGGCACGGCATTCGGAGAACAAAAAACACTGTTGCAGCGCGGTTCCCGCTGCCTGTTGTATCAAGCATCCGCTGCTCAAGCACCAGCAGAAATGCAAGTGAATCATTTGCTAGGGCCCCCTACAGCCCCTACTCACGCTCGCCAGCAGCTAAAATCGCCGACAAACGAAATCACCGCCCAGCTGTGGAACATCCTCTGGATCGTGATCTGGTCACGGGGCTGCTGTCGTCATCACTTCCCTCACTTCCCTCATCTGACCCGCCTGATGATGCGAGGTCCTGCGGCCCCGGTGCTTTCATGATCGCTTTGCCGTCACGGGCAGGTAGCGCCCAGCACAGCATAGCGAAGAGCGCAGCTTCCAGCACACTGGTCGTCATTGCATTTCCTGCACAAGGGCCGTCCACTGGAAACAAGCAAGCAACAAACATTACACCACAGCAGACATCATGAATCATGACTCATGACTCATGACTGTCACCAAAATAGAACTACATACGACATGGGATTCTTTGGAATGGTCTGTGTTTCTCCGCCTGCAAGTCTATTGGCCAAGCCATATTCATTGGCAGCGAGCTCGAAGCGCACCGGGTTCAGCCCCTGCATTGCAAGAAGCTCCTGACACGGAGTCACGGAGTCATAAAAGAACCAGACCAGAACCGACGATAATTGAAACGCCCCACTGTCACCTTGCTTCCGAATATAGTCCCGGCCTAATCAATTTCGTCTATAGTGCAGAGCGAAAACAGCAGACAGAAAACAATCCGAAAGTACAACCCGAGGACACTACACAGGCATAGGACCATGGTCCTCGCCAGATAGCAGCCGGTCATGTTGGAAGCTCCAGAATTTGTTCCGCTGGGAAATCGCGTAGCACGTGGAGTGGCGAGACAGGGCAGTTCTGCCCAAGCTTCCTTGATGCAAACACAGAAACACACGATTGAGTACTCTATGATACTCTATGGACTGTAGCAGTGCACTGATATGATACGCAGCATAGGCAACCTACATCCTGTCCTACCCGAACGCTCTACTACTGTGTCACTGTGTCACATGGCAACGCAGCTGCTGCGTGGCACGCGGTGAACAAGACATTCTGAACCGATAATGGCCGCACTTCTTCTTTGGCCACGCGACTGGCCAAGTCCGCCATGTACTGCTCCTTCTTGGGGTTTCCACGTCGCTCCTTAGTGTTTCGTAAGAGTAGAGCAAGCAATGAAATAAGACACCCAGTCATGTGAACCCATACCGAGTCGTTTGTGTCATATGGTATCATATGAGCGAGTCTGAGTACTTTATGACATTTCCCCTCGCCAGTGAACTGTGACTCAAGCTCACAGAACTGAGATGTAGACTGTAGATCAATCTTCAATAGTTTCAACAAAAAGATGAGATGGACCGATGTACCGTTGGTGTACCATCTGCAGCACCCAAAACATAATTCTAGATTAAAAACTGGTAATCAAAAAATGATGAGAGCATGATAGGCTCAATGATAGGTGCTAATCTAGACAATAAAGGAACTATAGAAAAATACAGAGGTCATAGATTATCGGTGTGATAGACTGATAGATAGAAGATAGATAGATCATGATAGATCAATAGAGCGATCATCTATGAAATGATACGAATAATGATATGAATCAGTCATCCCGTGATATCCCGATATGATACCCATATCATAGCCCATATATGATAATTTATGGTCCATATCCAAACAGTACGGAACGGTTTCTACGGTTCCCTACTGTTTTGCTTTTGCCCCTGTTGGGCCAAAACTGTAGGAACGGTTCAGAACGGTTCGGAACGGTTCCTGGGCTGCTTCGCTAAATAGTACGGAACGGTTTCTACGGTTCCCTACTGTTTTGTTTCTGTGCCTCATACTAGATTCATACTCCCTGCCCTACCTTAGTATCCAAGTCTATCTAATGCATCGAAAGCACAATGGGGAAGCTAAACCATGGTATAGCCGGATATGTTCTAGATTCGATAGTTCATTTGTCGACCTATGTCATTTATGGGATTTGTGCCACCTACACCTACACCTATCACCTATCAGGTCGCCTATCACCTATCACCTATACAAAAACCCTCCCAAGATTATGCGTCTTCTTCTGACTTCTCGGTTGGCAAGGAGATGATATGAGCCAAAACGCCAAGATGATGTACTTCCAGAAAATGTCCAAGACTTGTAGCTCACGATGGCTTAGCCCACACAAGCTGCTTTCTAAAAGCCGCCCTGTGTACGGCTGCTCACCTCAGAGACAGGCACTCCGACAGGACAAACAGATGGGAACGAACTTGACAAACAGTCACAGTCAGACAAACACCCACAAACGATTTACCGCCATATACTGCTCCTGTCTCGAGCACTTCAGCTCGCTGCCCCACTGCATAATGCCTAGTTGCCCGGGCTCATCCTCAATCTACGCTGCCACGCATCGATCTCCTCCCTCGTCTTGCTGGACAGGCTCCGCTCTCTCACGTCCTGGAGGAAAGCATCATTTTTTCCAGTCAAAAGGTACTCGACAGGTACCCTCGGGAATAACACAGGAAGGATGTTTTTGTGGTCACGTCGGGTGGGAAAGTGAGGCCGGAACCGTTCGGAACCGTTCCGAACCGTTCCTGGCACCCTTCGGGGCTGTTGACGGCATGCCCGAAGCTCAGCTGCTTCCACTAGACCAGCACCCCGGAACCCACTAGCCCAGCGCCTGGCACCACACGTCAGGTTTCCCCGAAAACCACGCGAGGCACAAATATCAAATCATAATTGCCCCATCCGAATCGAATGGTTCACGTGGCCCCTGGCCATATGATCTTCAAAATGCGAGTAAGGTCGCATGCCTAGTACGAAAGCAGCAATGACAAAGAAATCTGCATTGTCTACAGTCTACACTAGCTCACCCGTCAAGACTCAAGATTGACAAGATTTTGGTTTCTATAATTGTTCAAGATGTCAGATGTGGATTTACGATTGTTTTGGTTTGCACAGCTTCCACTAGTCACTAGGGTCCAGCGTGAACACATACTTGACATAAAGCAAGAAGGTTGTGGAACACGTATTGGGGCTTGATGTAGGGCCTACAGTGGCCTACAAGTCAATTCTCGAGGAGCTTCGAAAAGCTATCATTCGTTGCCCCGGCCCAGTCCTTCCTCTCGGCTCCGCAACGAATGGGGGGCAGTTGCTTCGATGCAACCCAAGCGACAATTTGAGCTATCGAACAATATTCATGTTGATCTGGCAACAAGTTGTCGAAGAAGTTCACTAGGCTGTCAAAGCTTGCAGGCGACATGAGACATCTCTGAACGCCCAAAATGTACAGTCTTTGCCGGCACTGTGGACTTCCATAGTCTCGGCTCCTGAAGCATGCAGCATGCTTCGAGTCACTCCAAAGTCCGAAGCACTGTTGAACTATCGATCATATTCTTGCTCAGCTGCTCTGTTGCTCACAATCTGTAAGTCGCCACCCATGACTATAATTTGGGGCAAGTTTCCGAATGAGCACAGGTGCGACATAGTAGCGGTGCGGTTCCGGAACCTTTGCAACACCGAAGTCCTCACCATCGATCTCGCCATGCATGAAATAGTCGTAAGGAGTCTGGCCAGGGCAGAGTTTCAATGCAAGCAGTGATGCATGGCACTGAAAGGTTTCAGCTTCGCAAAAAGCAATCAAAGCATGCTCCCTCGCAGCCAATCTTTGCTTGCACTGCACGATGCACTTCATCTGGCGCGTTAAATGAAGTCTGGCTTAGCCACTTCTGCTACGGCTGAGGTGCATCAACTTGCATCTGCACGCAGCTGCCACTGAATCATGTAGCCACATGCCCTGGCAAAATTACGGAGCATCGTTGCAGAAGCTGCTTCTGCCACTTACGAGATGAAGGAGAGGAATTGAATGTTAACCGCCGTGCCCCACACCGGCGTCTATCTGTATCTTAGCAGTCTATAGTATCACAACTCTATTTAGATATCATATAATACATATATCATATATCTTTTCTCTTATAATATACAGACAGTTGCAGACATATACACCGTATACACGTATTATTTATATATGTTTAGCCTGTAGCCTACTATTACTACAATGAATACTGTACCACACGATAAGCACAACATCCGTAATCAGCTTGTGACACACGACAGGGGCTCGCAATGAGCGGCTACGTTGAGGAAGCAGATGCCTCTGGCAAAAGAGCCGACAACACTCGCTCTGCTGCAGACTTGACTTCAGGCACGGGTGTGCTTCGCACAATTTGCCTCATTGCCACGATCGCCTGCTCTTCCTTTGCAACATCATCCTGTACAAAGCGCCTCACGCAAGTATCGTGCACGTACCTGGAGGGTCTTCTTTCATGCCAGAAGTAGGAGAAGCGCGGTGCACCTTTACAGATGGGCCCGGAGCAGTGCAGGCATTTGCTCCTCCCGGTTGGGGCCAGTGACCCCTCGTCGAAACCTATCTCCTTTGAAAAATACGATCCACCTGTCCTGTGCGCATCAGCCAGGACTGCTTTCTTCTGCTGCGTTTCCTCAAAATCACCAGCTGCAAGCGCTAGCTCTCTCTCCTCATTCCGTGCATCATCTGTGGGCATCATAAGTGTTCCGACTGCCTCATCCTCTTCTCCAGCTCCATCGGCTCCATCATCTGAACCGGATCTTGAATCAGAACCATCATTGTCTGGTTTTGCAGAAGCTGCTGAAGAAGACTCTAACTTTGACGACTTGCTGGAAACTGATTCACCGGTGCGCCGACGTCGCCCTCTGCCACGCCCTCGGGCACGAGCTGGGCCTGGCTTCTTTGTTCTGGCTTTCGGCTTTGCCTTGGCACGCTTTTTCTTGGGGAACTTCAAGCCAAAAGGAAGCTGCACCTGCGCTGCACTCGTTGTGGCCTCCTCTCTGGTTGCATGCAACGTAAATGTGCTTGGCGGCTGCGATGAAACGACAACCTTCAGCTGCTGCATGCTCTGCCACTGATTCAAAGGATGCTCAAAGGAGCAAGGAATGATCTCCACAGTAATCCCGTCTACAGCCCCATCGCACAAAACAGCCAGGTTTCTGAAGATCTCAAAAGACGTGTGAAATTGTGGAAGCAAGAGGACTCCATCCATGTCTCTGCCGCTGCCGCTTGTCACAGCAAAACTAACTGCGCCACCTTCTGAAGTCACCGGCCAGGCCTTCACCAAGACTTGTGTCAGGGGCTTCTGACACAAAACTCCCAAGAAAAATGCTTGATCATCTGGGATGGCTAGCGCAGAACCACCTCGCATGGGTTGCAACCGCAACAAAGAACCAGCAGGCAGCTTTCGTTGCACGGTTTCCTTTGCAAGCAGCTTGGCAAACCTGGCCGAAAAATTGTGGAATTTCTCCAGCTGGCAATACCCAAACAGTTTGTGACAAGTGCTACTCGGGATGCCCTTGTCATTTGCAAATGAGCCATCTTCTGGCTCCTCGAGATTTGCATGCATGCAATTGTGCACGGCTGCATCCACTGTTGGTTGCGGGGTGCAGAGATCAATGAGATCTCGGCGAAGTGCGCCATGTCTGTCTTGCAAAGACAGGCCATACGTCGCCCATCTTGGATCGGCCGTGTGCTCTTCGTCGTTCAACACCAAACGCTTGGCCGATATCTTCTTGCAAAAATGTTCTCCTGCAGAGTCTGGCATTTGCATCACGGCCTAGGCCATACACCTTGTTCTGTACACCGTATGTAGTGTATACGTAGGAATTTATACCACTTAAAGCTTATAACTTATAACTTATAACTTATAACTTATACAGTTATAGTTATAGTTATAGTTGTAGTTATAGTCATAGTTATAGTTATGCCGTAATGCCCGACTTACACCGTACGCTAGTGTTTGGCTAAGTATAAGTATATATACAGGTATACTGCTACTTGCCGGCACCGACACCGACGCAAGACCAGAGACATCCGAAAAGACAAGCTATGCTATGTTTTGTTACAACCGGACCATAAGCTACTACCTGCTCTTCTACTAAAAATATGAATCAGTGAATACTCACTATCTACGTCTATTACTATACCTATACCATTATCATTTGGGCAGTTGGGCTCCGTATACTTCTTGCTCCGCAGCCTGAAGTATCCAAAAACACCTCTCCACAGCTAGACTAGACGGAAACGCGAAAAGGGCAGGCAAAGGTCAAGGCATGTCCCGCCTGCAACCTTTTCAAGTTGAGACGTCGAAAGCGAGTCTGCAGACTGCACATCCCCCACGGGAACATCTGAGCCCGTGGAGCTCTTCTGCCATCCGCTTCCAGCTGCCAAGGCTCGTGTTTGCAATTCATCCCGACAAGTCTGCTCATAATTGGCTTTGATGGTGTACTTCTCTCGCACTTCCTGGTCGAGTAGCCTCCATTTTCTTCCCAGGGCACTACTTTGGGCACTGTACTCCTCCTGGGATAACTCTGTGCTGCTGAATTGCTGCATCCCTTCACGAAGAAAAACATTCCAGCCAGACAGCCGACGCGGCTCCACGCAAGTGGCCGCTGCAAGCCGAGTCTTTGCATGTGGAAGCACAGTGTCAGCCGCCTTGCGTTTGCGACCGATGTTCCTTTGCATCTGTGCGATACGAAATGAGCTTGGCATAGTCGCTGGCATGATCAGTGTCTTCAAGTGCAAATGCTCGGAAGCCAGTGCTGAAAGTACGGAAATTTCTGCTGCAGCTGGGCTTCCCCGTGCCCGCCCCCGCCAAACAAACAAGCGGCTCTGGTTTTGACCATGCAAGTTCTCCACAGTGTCGGTCGCCAAAGGGGTGAAGGTTGCTATGTCCAGCAGCAGCTGCTGAACGTCTTTCACACGCTCTTGCCTGTCTCTGCCGTCTAATGCTGCGACATCAAGCGCACGCAAAAGGGGAGCACTGAAGCCTGCATCCACGCATTCGGGGCATCTCTGCATGGTTGCACGAAAGGCTGTCCACTTCGTGCAAAAGTCTGACTCGCTGCAGCTGCTCAAGTCAAATAAGATCCATGGAAAACTTGAGACTGCATGGCAACATCGCCGCCAAACGTCTGACATGGCGAAAAGTGTCAGTTCGAAACAGGTCCAGCTCATCGACACATCATCGGAATCATGGCAAAATGTGGCCAGGTCAAGTGACTGCAGATTGGACAGGAAAGAACGTATTGTCTCGCGGCCCAATGTCCCTGAAGTCCAAGATAGAAACACAAGACGGGAGTAGTCTTTCAGCTCCTGCAGCGTCTCACCATTTCTTGTTTCGTTGAACCTGAGTTGCTTCAGAACTGTGGTCCTGCGAAGCATCTTGTTGATAATGGCATCCAGGGGCCCTAGCAGGAAATCTACAATTTTGACTTTGTTTTCGAAGTCTCCAGTGCCCAAGGTGTCGCAAACTAACCGAAGACGCTTGGCATTCTGCTCTGCATATGATGTATCCTGCTCAAGAAGATCTTCCACTGTCCTGCCCAGCTCAGCTGCGTCTGCACTCGCACTGCCAGATTGGAAAGCTTCGGCCCAAGCGTTCACAGCTTCAACAATTCTATCCGCATCACCTGAATTTGGGAGCTGTGCTACTGAAACAGGCGCGGTAATGGTTCCAACCTGGCCTACAGCACTGCTTACAGGGTGCACCATCTGCTCGCTACTGCCTAGTAGCTACCGTAACTTAATATCTAGTCTATACTGATATTACATGATATGATATACCGATACCGATACGATATAGCGATATACACCAGCACAGATGCAGCATCGCCAGCAAACCGTAATACATAAAAAACACTTTCTGGACCATAACGGTACGCGCGAGACACCTGAAGGCCTGACCTGCATCTGCATAAATTCTACCTTGATGATCAAACATCAAACTATCTTGTACCAACAAAACATCTTAAGCAAGTGCTGACTTATGTATGAAGTTGAGCAAGCTGGCCACTTGTGTCGGGAAGGCCTTGCAACGTTCGCACCAGTATCCGATGCCAGAAAAAACCGTCAGCAATGAAGCTGTTTGCTTCAGTAGCATGCTTCCAACGGTACAGCAATGGCACGCACATGTGTGAAAACTTGCGGCCATACGCCTGAAACAAGTGGGACAAGGCCTCGTCTTTACCACCCCGGCAGCAATCTTTCCCAGTACACCAGTGGATGATGCTATTGCTTCTTGGGTCGCCGTTATCCTTGGACATGATCGCCAAATTTGCTTTCAAGCGTTTTGAGACACCGGAGTGAGCTGAACCAGCGTGGGAACGATCGGAATGAAGCCTCAAGCATTTTATCTTCTCAGCTTTCCACGCAGCCGCTTCTTCCGGAAGGGCTGCTACCGGTATGTAGTCAAAAGAATCCGAAATCACCTTGGTCATAGCTGCGTGGAATCGCTGCCTGAAGCCGAATGACTCAAAGCAATGCCCAAACCGGACCAGTGTCGACCAATAGCCACGAAAGCCTAAGGCCAGAGCCTTTCTGGTAAGGGCAACTTGATGTATGAGGCAATGGTGCTGCAGTGCCAAGTGCTGGTCCGATTTGCTGCGCTGTTCCGGCTGTTCCGTTCTTGTGACAGATTGTCGGTGCACTGTCTTGGCCAGCTCATAAAAAACTGCGTCGTTGCTCTTGAGAGCGTCTGTCACGAGAATGAACACATGTCGCCGTGCATGTTGAAAGATGTCGGCAGGAAGGCCCCATGACATCCAACGCTGTCCCACTTTGCCAGCAAATGACAATGTCCATGACAGGAACTGATGGTATAACTGTTCTGCAGTTGCGCGTTTCAGGGATATCAAGGGTTGATGGAGATAAAACCAGAGCGGCAACTCTGAGGCTGCCTCATCACTGAACACAAGATGCGATTGCACGTTGGACAAGACTGTACGAACCACAGTAGAGTTGTTCTGCCCGTCTCCCAGTTTTATATTTGTGTCGTCGGCAACACTAACAGACAGCACACAGCGCCTTTGCACACCCCCAGCCCTGGCAGCGGTCTCAGTGCCATCTGCGAGCCTATCGTCGGCAGCCTCATGTCCTCCATCATGGTCGGGTTCAGCTCCCAACAAAATACGTTTCAGAGCACGTGCAATATTTATGAAATACAGCCACACTGCTCGGCGACGTTTGCCATCCGACGTGCCTCTAGACTCTTCTGAGATCTCTTCAAAAGGAGCCCACCAACCGTGCTTGGACTGCTTAGCTGCGAAATAAGACCGCTGGAATCCGGCTACGACATCCGTATTCGCATCCAGCTTGAAAGGTTCTCGTTGCAGCAGCTTCTTTCGCTGCCTCGACAACAGCGAAGCTGTTCTGGCCTTCGCAGTTCGCGCCTGTCGCTTCAGAATTGCCAGCTCGGTGCCAACCTCTGGCCGCTGTTCAACATGAACCTGATCATGATCGGACAAGGGAGCCGACGCCGACTGCTGTCCGGACAGATTGCTCTCATTGCTGCTGCTGCCTTCTGATTCTGTTTCTGCCGCTGGAGACACGAACTCAGCTTGCTCCGCTGGCGTCGATGAGCTCCAAAAATCCGACAGTGGCATGGGGCCAGCTATGGCCACAGAATCCGCAAGAAAGTAATTAATAGTGACGCAGCAACGGCCCTAGGACCATCTTACGACCATGGTGTAGTGGAGGTTTATGAACCGACTGTCGGTAGCCGACTCACTGCAACATCACATTCAACAGTATATCCCAGGTTACTGGTATCCCTCTATGTCCAACAACAAAAAATCATCTCTACGTCTCGATCTCAACATCTGTCATTTGCCTGCCAGTCAGTGTTTCACAGAGGCGGCCAGCTGCGCGACGCATGACGGAATATGACGACTCGACAGGACATATGATGCTGCAGATTACGCAAGGTTCAGGAATGGTCGGAATGATGAGTAACCAGTCTCAGTACACCCGGCCTCGTATTTCGAGAACCAAGGACCCTGGCACTGCTTTGGCCAAGGCCTCGCAAAGGCAGGGACCTGCAAGCTCAGCCAGAATCCGATTGCAACAGTCTGTGTGTAAAAAGCAAGACTGTAACATTCACTTCATTCATCAACTGCGACTGCCCGCAACTGGCAACTCTGACCGCGCTGTCGTTGCAGAGCCTCAACCCTAAGCTTGCCGGGCCTGCTCGATCACAAACGAGCGTGGCGTGCGATCGCGAATGTGCCGGGCACAATCCAAGACTGTTTGTGTAGCGGGGTCGTCAAAAAAAGGATTGTACTCAGGCTTTCGGCGGCGCACGTTGAGGTCGGAGAAAGGAGTGCACGGAGGGCCGGCACAATAGATGTCCTGTGCATTTTCGCAGTTTGGGTCAGCTGTTGAGAAATCCTCCCCTACCCCGGCCCGCACACGTTGCTGGAACGAGTCAGCTCAACTCCATCTGAAAGTGAAGGACAACTGCCGAAAATTCCATGCTAAGGCCGCTAAGGTTGAGTTAAGTTACGCTATGCATGGTTCGTTATCAGCAGCATGCACACACGCAGTACGCAGCTTATGCAAGTTACGCAGTGTATCAGGGTATCACACAGGGTCTCATTCAATTGGAAGGTGGAAAACTGCACTTTCCATGGCCCTCCCAAACACTTACACTGAGAGTAACCCTTCTAACTTCTAACCTCAAAACCGCATAGACTGCAGCGCGGCTTGCAGCACAGAGCCTCAAGCATACAGCTTAAAGCCTTCAACCGTCAATCAGTCGATCACCAGAAATCAGAAACAGTTCAAGCACCGCGGCCTCCATATCCCCTGGAAGCGACTCAGGCAAACAGATGGCCCCATGCTTTGCACATTCTCCACCAACCACAGAGCTGGCGCTGTCTTTGAACAGGTGGGAGCCTGGTCTTTCATTTGGGTCAAAAGATCAAATGAATCAGATGACACATCAATCAAGACCAGGAAACTTTGCACGCACCGTATGCCTTCATGCTGCAAATGAGCTGGCCAACTGTTTAACAGAATGTCACAAGTCACAATATCGGAGACCGGTAGCTATCGAAATGCGAGAGCAAGAAATCTCGGCATGGTCTGTGGCTTTCGGAGGCAGCGATTTCCTGGAAGCCGACGCCTGTGCCGATAGCCTCGCAGATGTTCTGCCTCAGATGTTCGGATTACAGGGCGGGTTGCATGCATGTTCAATGGTTGCTCTATCAAAGTCTTACCGGCCGCCGACATCAGAGCACTCAGAGCACGATTTGGGGCATGCGGCATGGTTGCATTCGGCACTAGCCCACGCTCAGAAGAGCCCATGCCGCCAAAGCCACATGCAATAGTTGAGGGTCCCGGCTCCCGAAAAATCTGAGGCAACGATGTACCTTACTTACAGCACAATCATGTGTTCTGGAAACACGCATGGAAACTGAATGTAAAAGACTGAACAGACTTGACTCTTCAAAGCCCAACACATGAAAACGCATAATGGTCGCTGGAAGAAGACTCAGACCGACCGGATGGAGGCACCAAAGATTCGGGCGCTACCCCAGCAGCTTTCAGGTACAGGCTGGAACTCCGGAACATGGTTGGGTCACATGCCTCATCTGCCTCCCCACTGACCGCTTCCTCGGATTCCTCGTCATCCGTGGATGTCAGCATGCAGCCGGATTCCTGCGAAAAGCAAAAGCGAAATGGCAAACATCAAATAACAAAAACCCTATCGGCTGATGGACTGCCCCTTCACGGTCAGGACACATGTTTACGACCTTATAATGGCTGTCACTGGCCGTCCTCGCCGCCGCTGGAATGCGATGATCCACTCTCGTCCTGGCCCAATATTAGGAGGGGGGCGACTCATCAGCTTTCCCGCTAGGGCCTAGGCACCCCGCTGTGTGGCGCCTACGCGGCACCTGCTCCTTGGTGCCTACGGCACCTGCTTTTCGGTGCCTATGCGGCACCCCGCTGCAACATACGGAATCCAAAAGTTATAGGCCCCGGTTGGTTTTGCTACGCTAGGCTAGGCGCGCACAGTCTGCGAGGCAGCAGGCAACACTGTCCTTGGCATCTTGCTGCTGCGCGGCGTGCGCTTGAAGAACATCGAGCAAGCCCATGACGGACGGCACGCTCTTGCTTATATGATGTCTCATGAGTCTGAGTCTGAGTCATGAACCATGCATGCCGCCAGAAGTTCTCAATGACAGTGCGGCAAGGACAACATATCGCAATATACTCTGAGGAAGCCTGCTGCCAATGGATGGCTCTCATTTTGCTACTTGCGCCAGCGATGCCGACAACGATTGAGCGAGCGCACACCGCAAGCTCCCATGCGGCCGACAAATCAGCATAGATCAAAAGATGAAGAAGGTGGCCAGCCCCATCAAGAGCTGCAGCGATTACTCTCGAGATCCGAAAC